CGACTGCCGCTAGAGTCACTAACGATCATCGTTGGCTCCGAATAGTCGCACGGCTGGGGGCTGAATATAACCGCAATCGCAAACGGCCATTGACATTGGGAGGAATGTATGCGTTATCATGGCTCTCAAGTTTTCCGATGAACAGGATGAGATCCTTGCGGGAGGCTCAATTTCTGCAGTCAGTTTCTGAAATAACCCCTCTTCATTCCTTAATTCAAACGCAATTTATTTATTTATTTATTTATTTATTTGTCCCCTTTTACCCTACTAGAAGTTATTTAATTGACAACCTTCTACTCAACTTGCTCAAAGCCATTTTCTCGCGCGACTTGAAACACTTCCGCCACGTGACGTAAAAAATAAAGCTGTCACTTCGAAAGTCGCAGACACACAAACGCACAGGGCAAACAAGTACACTCTCTGATCGAGCAGCGACAATCGTTGAACAGTTGTCGTGGGGCGATCATCGTGACCTCAACTCGGATAAGCAGCTTTGTGGAGAAAGGCATAAGCGACGATGTCAAAGTACAAAGTAATGTTATGTTCCTTAGCAACGACGGAGACTGATGTATCACTGGCGTAGCTTTCACAAATATTGGGTTTATTGTATTTCATGTCACAGAAAGCTGCACCCGGTTATCGATTATGAACTTTACGTGGGGAAGATAACATTTTATTTTAGTTTTCACATATCTCTTTTATTTTATTTATTGGTATACTTTTATATCTATCATTCATTTAGCTATTCATTAATTTATTCACTAATTTAACCACCTAATAAAATATCCGTCCGACTCCTAGATGTTGGGGATGCAACTGATATTACGATGAAGTAGATTAAAGCCGTTTTTTGGCTGTTTATACACTAAGCTTTCTCCTTACGTGTCTCCTCCCATGGCAGGACAGGCTATTTTCGTAGGACCTCACATATGGATACATTTAGATTATTCATGATTCTGACCTTTTATAAACAAGAGACTGAATATGAATCACCATCATCATCATATGTTGACCAATTTTTGCTTTGGAAGCTGTGCAGGTAGTTGTTCTCTCGATTCGGTCTACCTGTTATGACAGTGGCATACGCTTTTCTCTTGTAACTGCCTTACACTGCTGCTTTTGCCCTGGTTGTCATCGGGGATTCAAGAATAATGATAATTTCATTTTTTCGTTCATTAACGAATGGCTGAATTATTCAGTAGTATATTAGCTACAATGTCCTAGTATTATAAGTGATCTAAGCCACACGAGGAGTGATTTAGCAATACAAGTCAGTTAATATTTACATTAACAATAATGCGCTGTCCTTGTTTTTGTTGGGGGAGGGGGAGGGTGGTCTCGCCTGAATGGGTTTTCATCCTAATTTCCACCATAGGCAAATAAAGTCAATCCGCGATCGGCGGCGTGAAAATCCCCGAGAGTTACTTTTGACGAATGATATATCACCAGTAAAAGCAGTTTGTTTCCGAGATTCATAAAATGCAATAGAAAAAATAACTATATAACTTCCATGTTATGCAGATACTCAGTAAGCATACATTAACAAAGATTAAAAGCAAAATAGAAACATAAGAAAGGACATCACGCATGATTAAACATTAACGAATGAAATTGAGGGCATGTCGCAATGTTGTACATGATAGTCGGAAGAGAATCTGGTGAACATTGTATGATATTTGGAAACGGTATGATTCATGTCACCTGCGCAGGGCGAGAGAAGGAAAATCAGGTTAGCTCAGCCTCTCGAAGTTCAAACTCGTACGGCCATACAACTCAATGATCTATACTTTTATTTGTCAAAGATGAGCTGCTGTTGGTCAGAGTTTTGCCTTTACCGTGGTTGTTCGTGTTTTCTTTTCATTTCTGCGTATTTCTGAAAGAAAAAAAGTAAAACATGTAAAGCGGATGATAATCTTTGTATGAGTACTTACATTTGATGTAATGAATGGATGATGCCAATTTTCATTCAACGCTTTTCACTTTTATTTACACTATTATTGACATAGTATGTTCTTCACCATGAAATGAATTTAAACACATGCTGGCTATTATTTTAATGACAGTGTTGGAGCATGCATTCTTGTGGCGAGTTCATGAAAAATGCATGAATATTTGTGGTCACTCGTACCTTCTTACCTACAGGTCTTAGCGCACGTGCCGGCGTATATATTTAGCATATGTGTTTATCGTCTTCCAAGTAAAGTGCGTAAACCCAAGCGTTCTTATAAACCATATCTGGCAAATGTATTTAATGTATGGACATATGCGCTTTATACTGTATATCTGGAATATATATGTTGAAACTTATGTTTACTATTTTGATAGTTGAATGCATAAACGTATAAAGAAAACAACATATAACATGTGCAGTATGTTTTCATCATCGTGCAAGTTAAATGGTTTAACCGAACGTTCTTGTTAAAAAAAAAAACGTAAATATTTAACGCGTATGTTCTCTATCATCTTGCAAGTAAGATACTTAAACCGAACGTTCTTAAACAAGAAATGCAGTCTATATATACAGAGCATGCATGGATTTACTATCTTAAGAGTGCGCAAACCCAAGCGTTCGCATATGCAGCGTATCCGGTTATCCGACCACTGACTCGAGACTGAAGTTTTGAACATAAGAAGAGGGAAGATTCGTTCTTGACTTCTTGCAGGAAACGCAAGAGGAAAGGCGTAAACAAAAAATTCATCGATGATTTAAGGGCATATCATGTTTCAAAAAGCCTTCCTGCTTCTTTTTTTTTAGGAGAACGATATATGCAATATGTTTCTTACATGTGTTGTTGTTGTTTTTTAACGGAAAATGCAAATGTTTGTCAGACTGCATTTCTGTGTAATATACACATTTGTATTATCTGTCTATATCTATAATATGTCTATCCCTCTCTATGTCTGTCTTTGTAAACGTCTATACATTATATATCTGTCTGTTTGCACATTTATCTATCTATCCGCCCATTCATCTACCTATCTATCTCTCTCTCTGTCTGTCTATATATTTATCTGTACAGTTATATTTCCATCCGTCTACTATTCATCCATCCATCTATCTATCCGTCAATCTATCTGTATATATATCTATCTCTCTATCAATCTATTTAACTATCTTATGTGCATTTCTAGACGTAAACGAAGACCATTTTCCGACAGGAGAATCACATCCTGCGTGCCATGATAAGAAGATATATCCTTTAGATAAACTACTTGCTAAACGTAATATCATTTTCTTTACCATTCCCTTGCTATATCCATCATCATACATTCAAAAAACAATATACGTCGCTATTTGGATAAATGTAATCGCAATCATCATTAATAGTCTCATACTCTCATACAATTTATAACTTTTTTCCAAATTATATCTAGTTATCTCTTTTTTTCCAAATTATATCTAGTTATCACTTTTTTTCCAAATTATATCTAGTTTAATCGTCAAATTATTTCTTATTATTTTCTTAATTATTACTTGTCTTTTGCTTGTATCTTTTGTGATTAAGTATTTTTAAGCTTATTTATTGTTTGTGTTTTTTTTCTCTCTTCTAACCATTATTAACTTATAGGTAACTTAATCTGTCTGTCTGTTAATGTTAACAATCTACGTTATCACTGCACAGTCTGAAGCAAAATCTGATATAAATGACTATAATGGGTATGTAATGGAAACTGCGATGCGTAGATGCGCGAATGGTCAAGAAAAGCGTGTAAGAATATATTTTTTCATGTTACTGCAGAAGTATAATAAGCAATTTGGTTAGTGTCGATTTCTGCCTGCATATGTGTCTATATGATTCATTTAATCATTTACCATTATCCATATGTTGCTACAAAAATGGGCACGCACCAAAACGCACACGCACTCACACTCACACTTGAATGCGCGCGCACGGACACACGTGTGTGTGTGTGTGTGTGTGTGTATGTGTGTTTATATAGAAATATATATATATATATATATATATATATATATATATATGTATATATATATGTGTGTGTGTGTGTGTGTGTGTGTGTGTGTGTGTGTGTGTGTATGTTTGTACACACACACACATACACACATATATATATATATATATATATATATATATATATATATATATATATATATATATATATATATATATATATATATATATATATATATATATATATTATATATAGACACACGTTTATGTATGTATGTATGTGTAAATATGTATACATCTACACATATGCACGAATATGTATGATGTATAGACCAGGGAAATCAATCACCTTGTTTATAAACATTTATCAGTGTCAGAATTCCGCATCTAAAAATAAGAATATGTAAATGTTTTCATCCTTTATCAAACCTTGTTGAAAGTGCTTAATCTTATCACAAGATACGACGAGTATTTCATTATTCTGACCATCAGCTAGTCAGACTGCGATATACGCTATGGACTGACAGCACACGCCCAGCTGACCCAATTCATTTACAATATGGACATGGAAGTCTTGGATTTGAAGGCAGTGAAAGGTGAGCGACACACTAGCGGATTTTTTTGAAAGAGAGGTTCGTTATTTGGGATCTCATGTTCTTTTTGCAGCGAGGGTTGTCTCGTTCATTGTCATGCGGGATGCATTCATGAGCTGGGTTTCTTCAACCCTTCCTCTGTGGACGAAATGCAACCGTTATACCCATGTGGTATTTGGAAGTGTGGTGTTTTTGTATTCTATATTTTGTCATAAGGTGATTGAGGATGGTAATTGCGATGACTAGGGGACAGGAGATGAGAGACAGTCATTTTATTGTGATTCATTCTTTTACACCACTTATATCGGCCGCCATACGTTGGTGCCACGTCTTACCCACACCTTCTTTGCGAAATACACCGTAAGACAGCCAATATAAAGATAGTATTTTAAACAAATCTTGCTACTCATTATAATTTTGCACTTAAATCCAGAAATGAATAAATACAACCCTCCGGAAATTGAAAGTAGGCTGAGAGACATGGCAGCGCCGCGAGGAGGAGATGTGACGTCACAAACATGGAGTAGTGAGGGAGACACTCCTATTCGAGGTGCTCTCCAATTTTACCGCTTTTTAACGCCAATTATTCCCCTACAACGAAGTGATACATATCCCCAGCGGTGTAGAATGTCGTGATACAACACCTGTGGCCCGGATAGAGCAGCAAGATGAGTGGGAGGAACATAATCACGCGGGAACTGAGTGGTAAGGCTTTAAATGGTGGAGTTGAAATGTAAACAAGACGTTCCAAAGAGGCCAAGGGAGAGGAGTTTACCTGTCGTTGGTTGCAATTACCTGTGATTGGTTGGCCGAGGCTTGGCTCTTAGGACACCTGTGATGCGAAGGAGTCGGGAGAGCGAAGGAATTGAAGGAATGAGGGAGGGAGAGAGGCTGAGAAGTGGGAGGGATAAGACGAGGGATAAAACTCATAAATTTCGATTTTTGAATTTGTTCCTCTTTCTCCTCTATTATAATACCTTTCTGTTCCTTTTTAAAGTATTTGATTTCTCAATATTTCGCTATCCTGACCTCTGATTCTTTCCTTATCTCTCGGTTTCTAGTCACTTGTTGCATGATTCAGGGTTATGGGAGGGAGAGAGAATAGGGTAATAATCCTACGATATCCTATTCCCTTGTCTATTAATTTCCTTCATTTCTCATTCTTCTTCATTTATTACCACCTCCTCTTGTTCCTCTTCCCATAGTGTTTGACAGTTGCTTCTTATTGCTTTGGAACATTGTTATCAGATCTGTCATGTTAATAATCATGTGTAGATAAATCACAGATATTCAGTAGGTTCCCTTTGTATTTTATGTTAATAGAAAATGTAATAAGTGCAATTTACACTTTATTTGGAGTAGGGAAGTTCGGTATGGTATTGTCTTGCTAGTGTCCTTTTGAGATAACACTAGGTTGTGCCTCTGGAAAATTGTTATTCAGTCTAATGAAATATTTTGTGAGTGGTTGAATTATATGTAGTTAAAGTTTCTTCGCTATTTTATAAGCCATTACATCGTAAAATGGTTGTTTTTGTTGCTGCTGTTGTCAGTGCTTTTGGCTTGAAGGAAGTGCATTGCTAAAAGTTGTGTACCGTTTATTTTGGTGTTCAAGTATAGTGAAGAGGAAATTGGAAATTTGATTCTTGCAATTAATAAGTCTTTTTAGATCTCTTTGTCATGATACCAGATATTTGCATTTTTTAAAGGAATGCATCCTTTCATTTTAGTTAGGAACAGGTGTTTTATCATTACATTGTAAATGGTGAGAAGTAAAGTATTGTTAAGGAGTGATGTACAGTTTTGTCATTTTTATTAGCTCAATTTTTTATATGAATTTTTCATGAATGAAAATAGAACAGATGACTATAACTTTGGAAGGAAGAAGAAAGGGGGATTTTTTTTTGTGATTTGGTTTTCAAATGCCATGAGTCACCATGCACTCAGGTGGTTGGTGTTTGGCAAATGACAGGAAATGATATTGAGATTGTCATGCGAGAATAGTGTAAATGCAGGTTGACATCAAGTGCGAACACCACAATATTTCTCAAGTTAATGTCACTTGCTATCTCTCAGTTTAGAGATGAAAGCCTAAAGTCTCGTTTATCTTTGGTGTGTTAATCTGCTGCTGTAATTAAGTCTAGTTATATAATAGAAATATACTATCAACCAAAAAATAAGGTATCCAATTTTCTTCATGCCCCAGGTACCACTTTCATGATGATGATGATGA